ATGGTCTCCCTACTCATGTGTTCATGTTGTAAAATTATTTATTGTATGTTCAAATTTGCTTATTTATGCCGTGTAGCATACTAGCATAGATTGTAAATATTCTATTAAATAAAAAAATAAAACGAAACATAACAAATTTTGAATGGTATGGTTAAAAGTGGTACCTACCTATACYCATCATTAATTGAAGTGAGTGCAATAACCAGACGTCTCCATCYAATAAAAATATTATAAGCCAAAATTCGACATCTCTAGAGAAGTATTGTTGACGCAACAAAAAATAAAACAGACACCTCCATTTGTATTATAACTTCTTTTCTATAACGATCAGAATTGTCAACAATCGACGCTGATTTTTTTATAGGAAAATACAAAAAAATGATTTATGAATAAACCTATGTCTTCAATTAAGAATTTTACACTTGTACTAATTACTACTAATACTAAGTAGTTACTAAAGTAAGTATCTACATGCAAGTGTGCAAACAACGGTAATCACATAAAAATAATATAACAGTAATAAACTTATGTAACTACTTTAATTTTAAATCCTGTGCGTATACTCATTATTTACATTTCAAGATGTGATTATGTGATGATGTAAATAAAGTAAAATCCTTGTGATAATATGTTATGTAGGTGTCGTTAATACTTTGATGCTCGGCGGAACCAAAATTAAATCTTAAGACTGGTAATTATGGCCGTACGCAAAGCTGTTGTTACGATTTATATTTTATAATCTTTGTTATCTGCCGGATACTGCACGGCGTGCGTTATTCGGCCAATCCGCTCAAAACGCGGTTTTAACGGTTGATGAACCAAGTAACCGATTACTGCGAAATCTATGGCATTAGCATAAAAAATACGAGTTTTTTACAATCTCATCGGCGACGGTAGCGGCACGAGCGCATCGACCAATGAGAGCGGACCACGAGCGGCCGCCGATGATAACGCGTCCGTGTCGATAACGCGAGTGCCGAGAGATTTTGGTCGTTGTCGCCGTCGTTATTCTTATTTCGTCTCTTCCGCTAATCCGCCGACSAGTTCCGACACTAATCTCGTTACCTAATCGGACGCGCGCACGTCGACAAACGACGCTCCGAGAACCGAACAACCAGTCGGCGGCGGACACGGTCTCGTCACGTTTATCTTATCGCCCACGCTCCGCGAGTGCCATATGAACGTCCTGTTGTCGTCTGATCGAGCGGCACMCCGGCACAATCTTTCACCGACTTCCGCTGCGCGCACGTAGAATATCGTTCCTTTGTTCCCGAACTCCGGCCATTTTCGATTTCCCGTTGTAAGAACAAAACGCCGGCCGATATTATGAATCCGCTGTGCTGTAAGTAGTACACATACCACAAGGCGTTTGTTCTCCGAGTCGCAATCACATCGTTAATATTTGTTTGTTTTTGTTGTGATTTTTTTGCAGACGTTTTGTTGGTGGCCCTCGCCAATTCCGCGGTCGCCATATATCCGTCCAATTCGGACGTCATCGAACTAACCGACGACAATTTCAATCAAGTGCTCCAAGGTGTCGAGATATGGGTGGTCGAGTTCTACGCCCCGTGGTGCGGACACTGCCAGCGACTTGTGCCCGAATACTCGAAAGCCGCCAAAGCCCTGAAGGTGTATAGCTTTCGAATGTTTTACTCAGTCCAATTGCTAGCCAGATTCTTATGCATACGATCCGTTCGTTTTTACAGGGTATCGTCAAAGTGGCTGCCATTGATGCCGATAAATATCCGTCTTTTGCAGGCCGTTATGGCGTGCAAGGTTTTCCTACTGTCAAAATATTTGTTGATAAAAACAAACCACAAGATTTCACTGGAGATCGAACGGCCGTCGGTATTACCGATGAGGTCATCAAAGCTATTAAGGGCGCCATTAGCGCTAACCTCCAAGGTGTGCCTTATGGATCATCTAAATCATCTAAAAAATCATCATCTGGTGACGACGTTGTTGAACTGACCGATTCAAATTTCGATAAGCTTGTATTGAATTCTGATGATATTTGGTTGGTTGAATTCTTTGCCCCGTGGTGTGGACATTGTAAAAACTTGGCTCCTCATTGGGCAGCAGCTGCTTCAGAACTTAAAGGAAAAGTAAAGCAAACATTATATCCCTACAACATTTTGAAATTTAGGCTATATAGATGGTTATGCTTTTAAGGTTAAACTTGGAGCATTAGATGCTACTGTTCATTCTTCAAAAGCTCAAGAATTCAACATTCGTGGATATCCCACAATTAAATTTTTCCCATCGGGTACATCCAGTTCGAGCGGAGCTGAAGAATATACTGGAGGAAGAACATCTTCAGACATTGTTAGCTGGGCAATGCAGAAACATCAAGAGAATGTACCACCACCAGACATTATTGAGGTAAAGTTTTTGAAACTAAAAGTATCATTGAACTCTGATTACTTAATATAAATTGTATATGAAATAGATCGTAAATGAAGATACATTCAAAGCTGGCTGCTCAGAGCATGCTCTGTGTGTGGTCTCTGTGCTACCTCACATTTTAGATTGCCAAGCTAACTGTCGAAATGAGTACCTGAATACATTACGCTCATTAGGAGATAAATTCAAACAAAAACTTTGGGGGTAAATTATTTTTTAATATATATATATATTTTCAACATCATACATTTTCCACRTATCATATATCTTCAATTATGTTTTTTTTATTCCTATTGTATTTTTTTCCTTAAAACAGTTAGTTTTTTATTGTTGAATATGATTCTACTAAAACCTTATTGTTAGATGGTTATGGGCTGAAGCAGGCAAACAACCAGAGTTGGAATCAACACTAGAAATTGGTGGTTTTGGATACCCTGCTTTGGCTGTTCTAAATGTTAAAAAAATGAAGTATTCAATTTTAAGAGGGTCATTTTCGGAAGATGGAATTAAAGAATTTTTAAGGTATACAATAATATCTATTTTTTTTAATAAATTTATTATTGATCAAATATGTTTTCATGTTTTAACAGAGATCTGTCTTACGGTCGTGGTACAACTGCACCAGTCAAAGGTGCTGCATTGCCAGAAATTCAAGCAACTGAACCCTGGGATGGTAAAGATGGTGAATTACCAACTGCTGACGATATTGATTTATCTGATGTTGACTTAGACGATCTTCCTAAAGAAGAATTATAAACACATCTCCGGTCTCTATTTTTTTTTAAATTTTATATTTTTTAAGACTGAACAAGTTTTGCTAATAAAATGTTTAATTGTAATACTTATCAGTCAACCTTCTGATTTAAACTTCAATATACTAATGTATTATAATCAGAAAATTAATATTAATTTGAAAAAATATACTTATAATTTGTAACTTATTAATTAACTAGTTGTTTAAAATAATCTAAATAATACCTAGATTTCCACCTATTTATGTGTAATATTCTTTTTTAAGGTAATAATATCAGAGTTCAATTTTTGAAGAATGTTTTTTATTTATTTTTATTATTATTATTATTAAAAATCCATTGTAATCCGTAGTTGATTAAATTGTTTGATGGTATTTAATATAATTTTTAATAGTAATAATTTCTGAATGGTAACTTATTGTATTCTACAATCCTTGAAAGTAATAATGATTGATATATTGAATTATTCATGGTGCACACTTATAATTCATTATTTAGAATGAAATGTCTTAGTTTGTAGATCAAAAATCTACATTATAATTGTCAGTAAATTGTGTTTAGTGTATTGGTCAAGTTTATGCATTTTATAAAATCAAATTTCATGATGCTATTAGAAATTTATAATAATATGGATGTCACTGGATTTGTAATTTTGAAATTGGAGAATCAAATCCTTCAAAAAAATAAAGGCATTTATTTGAAATACTATTATTTTATTAACATAATCCTCTTGAAATATTATGTAAAATATAAATGAGAAATTATTGTTAAATATATTATGAGCAAAAATGTTTTCAAAAAAGTTTATGCACTCAATGGCATACAACCAGTTTTTGTTGTTACAGTGTTCAGAAACCACTTGTTAGTAAAATTTAAACCACTACTGAGTCAAGCATTTGTACAACCGTCGTATTACTACACAACTGCGCAAGTCAGGTGCCAAAGTTATTAACAGTGTATAAATATGAAGCTTGATTTCTCTCCGAACAGGTATAATATATTTTTATATATATTAATATTTATTGACAACCTAAATGCTGGGTTGCATCTTGAATCACTGACACTAAACATTTATTCAGAGGACGCTACGCCTTCATGTATTTTTTTTAAAATTTTTTATACCAATTAAAAATTAAAAAAGTAACAATATTTATAGTGCATAGAAATTTATTCAGCTTTCAGTGAAAATGTATACACAGTTGCAAACAAAGATGAATTTGATTTTTTCAAAAACTGATTTTGTGTAAAAATCTATATTTACTATCTAACTTTATCTTCCAAAAAAAAAAAAAAGACTAACTAGATTCACTTCCTAACTGCCCTATCAAAAAAGTTGATGTTGAAGAAAATCTAAGGATTTTAACTGGTACCAAGGTAATGCCTAATGACAGCCAAAAAAAAATTCATTTTAAAATCAATAGATTCATCGCTTCTTCGAATCTAAAACACTAATATCAATAATTGTTATTTCATTCGAAAACATTCAATGGTTTTCCTTAATCATTTTTTAGTTCACTACTTTGTAAACCTTAAATCAAAAATAGTTATGACTATGAGAAATACATGAACTGATATTAATACTAATAAAAAATCAAATAGTTGATTCATTAAAAAAATATTCAGACTTTCATTGATATTTTAAACATGGTCATGATTACATTGAAATAAGACTTATAATTAATATTACAGAGTAAAAACACAAGTAAAATGATTTTGTTTTATTAATTTATTATTTTTTTCAAACCTAAATATTAAAACACAATGTAATTTTWAAAAAAAAACTTATAATGATATTAAAAAACATATAAAAAATATGAAATTATTGTTGTATATTTTTTGCACTGAATAAATGGAATACATCATAATTATATATTTATAAATAGTAATATAATACTTTTTTGGTAATCATTAAATTTGACATTTATGCATTAAACATAGAGCATAAAAAATAAAATTCATTGATTAGTATCTTTTAAATAAATACCATTATTTTTGAATATTGTTCTGTAAACAGTTAAGTATAAAGTATAAAAGTAAATTAAGATAATTTAAGGAACTATTAAAAGGCAGTCACCGTTTATAGATCTTATCGATTAAGTCAGTCATAATTTTAAACAAAGTAAAAATGCTTATAAAAAAATAAAATAGGAAACCTTAAAGGTATACAAATAACTGTTTAACAGCAAACATATATATYATCACGATAATTTTTTCAGAATAGAGCCAGTCACCACCACCTAGAGATTTTAATGTTTATTTCTTGATTGTTGAACAATGTGCATGGTTATTAYGGTTTGGCAGACATTTGCATGACATCATACTTGCGCTCTTTCTTGCATAGAATCGGATAAAACAGTACCCAATAGTAGACGGCTATGGCACCAAATATGATCGTTAACACAACTGCAATGATAACCCATGCTGAATGRAGAAGAGAGTTCTTGCGCACCAGTTTCATATCTGTTGGATATGCAAAATATAAATAACATGGTATCGACATAATATCACAAACMAGAGGTAGATACAACACAACATGACTGCAGATTGACAATAATATTATCAATGCATTTATAACAAGTTTGTGATGATTTTTCGACTCACAGTCGTAGCAATGTAGCATACTCACCTTTGTGGACTGGTGGTAATTGAGATTTTTCTGACTCATCAGGTTTGTCTTTGTATTGACTTCGGCTGTCGACATCATGGATAAATACACCTGTAATATTAAAATAGAAAATATTTTTACTATTAATATTTAAAAAGCCATTATGGATTGTTAACACAGTAAAAATGAAAACAGATTTATTTAATAATAAGTTTCTATCATTTGTTTGAAGTTTACTATTACTAATATTTAATATTACATACACACATTACTCGTGGGTTAAGATAGTTAATTTAAGAGGACGTCACACYACATGTGTTGTCTCTGTGTTACACACGTACTACATAATAAATTTTAGTTCACTAGTTTCAATAGTGTGCTGTTAATTTTGATATTAGAGTGAAATAACTCATTATCAAACTTTCAAGTAAGAAGCCATTATCTATGTTCTCTCGTTGGGTTCAATTTTTAAACAAGTTATGARTTTATGACTTTATGAGTATGTAAAGTAGAAAATATGAAAATGCACATTACTCATTTAAAAAATAAAATAACGTAAAAATCCAACAAGGAAACACAAATATAGTTCTTACCTAAAATGTTGATAATGAATCAATATTCACTCTAAYATCAAAACTAACAGCACACTATTTAAACTAGTGAGTGAAAATGTATTATGTAGTATGTGTATGATGGAAACAACACATGCAAGCGCGACAGCCTCTTAAATACATTAAATATTATATTTAATCAAAAACAAATTGATGTGTGACAAAATAATAATATAGTTTATTGACAGCTAAGTAATTATCTTTATTTACACTTTATTTTGGTGTGTATTCACATTTCATTGCAATATTAAATTAAAAATTAGGACTAACATTTGGTTTTAACATATAACTTTCCATTATTAACCTAATTTAACAAATATCAGCTACTATGTATGATTATGATTTATGGGTTACCACTGGAGTCTTGATTACGCCAGCCCTGTACATTCTCCTTTGTTTGTGACCCAACCCGACCCAACAACAACATTGATCCTGGCAACAATAAACCACTATATCTGGGCCCTATTGACAAATTTGACCCCCTGCCAGAGCTTGAGCGGCCAGCGTTCAAGCGGCCTGTAAACAAAATGATATTTAATATTTAAATCTGTGTTGTATCTTTAACATGCATCTTTAACCAACACCTTATAACTCATTTAAGATCAACGCCATCATATTTTTATTTWACAGTTCTCCATAATAAATGCTAGAATTTCCATTAATTTGTAATTTCTTCACATATTTTATATTGATATWTTATTATTAGGTATTATACCTAGATTAAGATCACAAAAGCTACTGAATTCTTGATTATTMAAAATAAATTGTGTGAAATAAAAATAAACAGTATTAGCAATTGATTTTAAAATTGAAATAAATGAATTATACGATATATCCATAGAATGCCAAAATACTGCAGAAAAAAAGAAAAAACTATTAGTTTAAAATTTGAAATTATACAGTATAGAAAAGTTCAAAAATTATAAATATCATTGATAAATAAATTTTAGGAAAAAAATATAAGAAATTTAATTTCTTTTGATAAAGTTTAAAATATATTTAAATTAAGTTTATTAAATATTGTGCTCTAAAGTCTAAATACCTAGTTTTTAAATCCMAATTCAGCTCGTGTTTTATGACTTCATAAGGTTAATATACCAACACTTATAAATTATATTAGTTATTGCTGTTAGTGGTGGGCATATTCGGATTTCAAAAWTCCAAATTATTCGGATTTGTCAAATCCAGATTTCACGGATTATYCGGAGTATTCGGATTATTCAACTCGATTTTACACTGTTCAATGACTCATTTTTATATACTTATAATATTTTAATTCTATAATATAATTTTCAGACATAGATATACCCAATTTCGAAYGCATTTTAAGTACCAGTGATGTTTTGCGCTTAGCATATCAAATCCATTAATCCGGATAAGAATTTGATTCAAATCCGGATTTGGATATCTGGATATTCAGATATTCGGATTTTATAACCATCCCTAATTGTTGTAAATAGTTTATATTTTTAAAATAAAAATAAATGCATKTCATATATACATAGGTAGGTAGATACTTATTTGTTGAAACAAAAATATTTTAATTAATTAACAAATACATTTTTTTTTATTACTAACAATTTACATAAATAATTCTGGATKATHACATAATATAGTTTATAAACATAATAACTTTCTGCAATATTTCAAAATTATAAGTTAATAATGACAAATATGATTAGATTAAATATTTAAGTACCTATATGAAATGATAAAACTTCTAAAAATAAACAATAAATATGTGTTCACTAAAAATTATAAAAAGCTATGTCAAATATAAATTATTRCCTAAGCACTGTATCAGATAACTACACATAAAACAAGGGATAATGTGTTATATGCATATTGCATACACATAGATAATAGTCTTAGATTAAAATTGTGATCTAAGTTAAATGTAGATTGTATGAACTATGAAGCATAATTTAATTAACTGTTCAAATATTCAAAGTATATTAATAATATATTATAGTAATTAACCAATTATGTTTTGACAAATAAAAAATATAAGTAATTTAGCAAAAATACTGCATTATATTAGTCATTAATAGATCATGAAAGGGAATTAGAGCTGTTTACAAATTGAATAGGTACAAAAAGTACAATTTTTAATAGTACCTATATTTTGTAGAAAATATAATTTAAATATTTAGAAWACAAATTCAACATCAATAAATTGTCAGAAAAGAACCACCAATGATACCTAAAATCAATTTAAAAAAAAAAATGTGGTGAATTTTTGAAACTTTAATAAGACATTTTATTAAACAATGATTATCAAAACTTTTTCGTCAAATACCTACCAAAGGTTAATCTTCAAAAATAAGAATCAGTAATAGAGTACAGTGACGTTTTAATATTTAATCATGCTATTAAGTTAGATTAGTCAATATTTGTAATTTGTACTATGATAAAGTAACAAATTACTATTAATGATCTTAAGAAAGGATTGTCGCAAATAATAAATTAACAAGTACTACTTATAGATACTTATGTATTCCATCAGAAGTGCTATAAATRTAATGTACTTAAAATCTAGAAAATTTAGTTTATATATACCTATCAATTCATTATAATTATCTCAGTAATTATACTTATAAGAACCATGATGAACAAAATATAAAAATCTATCGAGTGTAAAATATTTTGAAAGATATGTATCATGATTAATTAAGCATATATGTACTTACAGAGAATGACATATACAATTTAGGTAAAAGAAAAAGAAAAAAATAATTCTTAACATATTGTCGGTGTTTAGAAAGAATATTGTGCATGTACAAGAATCAGTAGCGACCTTGGCAAAAAACCAAATTTGCGCCTCCTCATCCAATTACTCATAACTAAAAATAAATGATAGATTTTTATGATTTTAGTAAATTATCAATTTAAATTGAGAATGCCAYTCGATGAAATTGCTCCTTTCATATAATTGCACCCCTAGCAAATGCTCTCTAGCTAGTGCCTGACTATGGCCCTAACTGCTGGTAAACTATTCATAAAAATATTAAATGAAAAACCTCATAATGAATGCAAACACGTTTGTTTAAATAAAACACAAACCTGAATGTTCCGAACACTGCATATTGTATAAAAGTTTTAATTGGCAAAAATATTATTAAAATAGTAATAAAAATAACTTATTAGGCCAAAATGACCTTATAAAAACAAAATTCAAAATTATATTAATTATGTAGTATATAATTCAAACTTTATGATAAGGAAGCTTGTCTCRAAGTAAACTAAAAATGTTTTTTCTACTAATTAATAGTTCTCCATCKGTGTTTTAAACCTTTTTTAAGCACAAAGTTAAATATTATAACAAATATTTAGATTTAAACCTACAATAATATAAACATTTCCTATAGAAACTAGAGATTTTAATATTATGACTAAATTGTGATGTCAGTACAAATAATGTGTTAGGTGTTAGTATTAACCATACCTAGGTGGTAAGAACATAAAAATATTAAAAGTTTTTTGTTATCTGATGATTTAGTTTCCCAGTTTACTATTTAAAATATACATCCTAACAACATTTAATATCAAATACTGCTTTCACTTTTGAGCAGGAATAAAAAATAGAACCTATATAAGACTCACCGAGTAAAACTCCTAAGACTATTGCAGTTGTAAATAACAACTGCTTCTGGTGTTCKGCAGGAAACATAAGTAGGTATCTGTCGGATTAAACGCAAAATTGTATAATAGATAACCGTTTCTCGATGTCGTCTCTATATTTAAAATAACGCCATAAACATAACTAGTGGTATTATTAAATTTGTGTAAACAAAAACCGACTATTCAAAAAAACGTAGCTGCTACTTTGTAGGTACTGTATAGTATAGTATATACAGCCATGCACATTCCACAGGTTTGCGTAGGGTAGTCGGCACGCATGCGCGTACGTTACACAACAATAAATAAACAATAACAAGTCGACTCGTACACAGTAGTACACTAGTACAGTACCACGATACCTACTCGGTATGACGGTACATGTGACATGTCTACCATTAGGTACACAACGATGGTCGACGAACAACGATTCGTCAGGTACACAATGTTTACGTTTCACTGACGAGCACCAACCAAGGTCGGAAAACCCGCGATGGTCGTGACCGCATAATTTTATATGAAATATGAATGTAAACGGAACGAAATATTATTATTATTATTATTWWTTMKYCRWYWATTGTTTTCATGGAAAATTTCTTTAGGGTTGGACGAGCCACGACCGCGTTCGGAGTTCCGTCAAGGTTGCAACACTGAAAGATGTACCGTGATGGGGATGGGCCCATAAGTCAATTCTCATAACTGTTGCTTGTCTTGCTCTCTTGCTATTTGCTAATCTCGGTAAACTGAAGCTGCACAGCATGCCAACCGCCAATCTTGAGACAAAGAAACTCGGCGAGCCCGCGCTATTTAAGATAATTAGATACCTATTAATATTCTATGTTGTATCTCATTCAATAATAAAACCAATGCTATATTGCTAAAAGTAACCGATCTTTAGATTGCTTTGGACGTACCTATGCTACACTCATCCTACTTGCCAGATTTTGATTTTAACCATGTAGTTTAGTGTTATTATTTAAAAATGCCGTCTTTTTGTATTGGAAAATCCAATATCAATCTCTGCAATAAGTTGTATAGGTACGTAATTCATAATATTACCTACCTATATGAAACAGTGTGTCCTGCTGTATATCATATTATGTAGTATGTACCTACCGCTTAATATTTCGACTAGTACCTAATTTGAATGCATAAAAATGAATGTTTGTTATGTAGACACTATAATAATGAATCGTTTTCAATAAAAGTCATATTAGATTTCTTTAAACTTGTAGGGTGTTTTATAATGTTTATACGGGCATAACACGAGATCCACCTATAATTGTTTGGTTAATTTACTAAAAAAATTTTATACTACGCTTATATTAAAACCTTTAATACAGTAATAAGTTTATTAAAAGTATACTAATGCTGGATTGAAAAAAGTGATATATTAGTGTATTTAGCTATGTATATTATATTGTACCTACTCATATAGGTATATATAATTGGTTGATATTTATTTTTTCAATCGTAGAATACCTATACTGTTCATGGGTTTTTTGGATTGATGTAAAATTTATATATACATAAATATACACACAATAAAATCAATGTATATTGAACGTTTATCGTATTTAATTGTATGTTAAACCGTTATTGTACTTATCTTTTATGTCAATTAACCATGATAATAATATTTAACGGGACAATATTTTACGAACAAGTGAAAAAGTTGCACAGTTTTAATAGTGCATTACAACTGCAAGGTGATGTGTGTTAAAATAAAACGTAATTTTTAAAATTTATAATTCTGTGATGGCTAAAGTGATTGAAAGTAAACGCGGAAACAAAACACTAATACTAAACAATTTTAAATTTTTTATTGGATCAGGTAACAAATCTAATGAAAATATTCGTCGGCGATGTATTAAAAAAAGTTGTTTCGCAAAAGTGTAGGTATACTGATAATAATAATGAAGCATTATTGGATCAATCAATTATACACAACCACGAACCGTATACAACAACAGAAATTGAAAGACAAATCATAAATTCGAATTGTAAGAGGAAAGCAGTTGATGTTCCTTGTACTAGACCTAAAAAAATAATTTTGAAAGAAATATCTGAAATGGAAGGTACGTCTGATTTTAAAAATAATGATGTAAAGTGATTGAGAAAAAATATTTACGACGCTCGTAAGAAAGTGCTACCAGCAAACCCAAAAAATATTGCAGAGGTACATGAAACATTAAACAACATAAAGACAAATACGAAACAAGGTGAACCGTTTTTGCTAATTAATGATGAAGAAAAACATATT